GTATAAATATAGAGTAACTTGAGGCGAATGAATCCTACACTCGCAGTCATAAGATGCATATGGACCGATCATAAGAAGTTTTAGTATGTTTAACTGTATGATCATTTCACTTAAATGTCTAAAAAGTGTGAGATAATATCTTTTTATTTACATAATTAATTTTATTTTCAACATGTCAGCTAAAATTAAAAGTTGATCTAATTGCGTAAATAATATTAACATCATTTAACTTTACAGATGCAACGGTGCAATTGAGGTGTGGAACAGGAAATGTGGTATCAAGTGCAATAACAAATGGATCGGGAGTATTTTCCTTGGTGGTGGATCCTCGTGTAAATACTTTGCCATTGCTATTGTCCAACTGCCGTTTAGTAGTTGCAACTCCACTCTCAACATGTAATGCGACTTTACCATCTGTTGGGCGTTTGGCGTCAACCTTGAACGTTGTAAATACCAGTATTGGCGGGGTCGGTGGTCTTATTAATGTCGTTTTAGGTCCAACTAGTTTTATACTTAATTTTAATCTCATTTAATAGTGAACGAGATAGCCTGCTAGTGCTTAATTAGTACTACTACTATGCATCAGCTAGTTAACCTTCTTGGCCAGCTGTTTACTGCATGAATAAGGACAGTTATTTCCACTAGTGAATAAAGTGCAAATAATATTTGCAAGTCTTATATTGGAGCCATCTAATCATATTGCGTGTGTTTTTATTTTGTTTATAGCTTTGTCTCGTTTATTATCCCTACTTATATTTTGTTTCATACATGCGGCAATGACTCTAGAATGAGTTTCGACCTAACGGCTCTATATAATAAGGACACATGAAATAAGAATGAAGGGACATAAAAAAGAATACAGTGAAAGCGGGATAAGATAAAATTAAGGAAGAGACTATAAGATGATAATATCGGTCAAACGATGAGATAATAAATACTAATAAAAATAACGAAAAACAAAATATCTTATTCAAAGTTATATAATGACAGGACCCAATAAGTATCTGACGGGGTATAATACCCCATATAGAGGCATCATTCTTAGTGGGATTAATGAGTAAGAATATATATATTATTATTTATATCAATAACATCTCTAGGGAAGGGAAAATGAAAGTTTATCTCCTGACCCAAATCTCAACCTGTCGTGATGGCACCTATCACATTATTAGGTCCGAAATGTAACGACCCGGACTGTCGTTTCGAGAGTTATAGTCTGTTTCCCCCATTTCAGCTTCTTTTGTGTTTTACAGCTGTATTATGTCTTACCAAGTTGGTTGGTTTGGGTCCGGAGTGGTTTTGAAGTGAATTGAGACACTTAGTCTCTTAACTGGAAGCTTAAGTTAGAAAAAGTCGACACGATGTCGACTTGTGGGAAAACAACCTCGGATTTGGATGATTATGGACTTAGGAGCGGGTCCGGTATGTGATTTGGAGGTCCATAGTAGAATTAGGCTTGAATTGGCGAAAGTTAGAATTTTGGCGATTTTGGCCGGCAATAAAAATTTTGATACTAGACTAAGTTCGAAGGTTAGACTAAGTTCGCATGGGGTTATATGACTTGTTGGTATGATTGGTTCAGGTCCCGGAGTCCTCGGGGTGATTTCGGGTGGTACGGCTTGATGGGAGTTGAAGTATTGCAGCTCAAGCTGCTGCTACTAGTGTAACCGCACCTCCGGAGTGTGAACCGCAGGTGCGAGCCCGCAGAAGAGAAGGAGGAGCCACAGATGCGTCTAAGGAGGATCTGGGCAGAGGACGCATGTGCGATGGTTGTAGAAGCAGATTTAGGGGCGCATGTGCGAGTTTGGACCGTAGGTGCGATGTAGTTCCAGAACTCGCAGAAGCGGGGCTTTGCCCGAAGATGCGGCTACGCAGATGCGGAAATAGAGCCGCAGGTGCGAGAAGTCTGATCAGAACCTATAAATAGAATGCTTCACGATTTTTCACCATTTTCATAATTTTTGAGCTCGGATTTTGGGGAAATGAAATTCATCATTTCACCATTTTCAACCTTGTGCCTATTTATCTTCAATAATGATTTTTTCCCAAAGATTTTGCACCTAGTTGGTGAGTCTTTGAGGTGAGATTTGGGAGATTAGGTCTTGGGAATTAGAGAGTGAATTTTGGGGTTTTGGAGGGGTAATTGAGGTCGGATTTTGATAAATTTGGTATGGTTAGACTCGTGAGTGAATGGTCTTCCGGGTTTTGTGACTTTCGTCGGGTTTCAAGACGTGGCCCCGG